TTGCTTTTATGAAGAAAAATAAACTAAATAAATATAAATAATAAAATATAAATATTTTTAGATTTTTTATTAATGAAAATAATAATAATAATATTAATAATAATAATAAAATATAAAATAAAAATAATAATGTCAGGGAGGTTAAAATTGGATTTTAGAGGTTTATTAGAAAAACAGTTTTTTTTTAATCTGACCCAATTGATGTTTTTATCTGCAAATCAGAAAAATAAAAAATCCATATGGGCTGCGTGATATGAGCAAACAGGGGGGGGGGGGGGGGTATTAGTGTGAAAAAATTCAAATCCCACGAGGGGAAGGCCCAAGCGCCTCATGTAACAAAAAATGTCAAAAAAGTGAGAGAGAAAAAAAAGAAGCAAAAGGCAGCGCGCTGGGTGTTGAACCCATGACCTCTTGGTTACCAGCGCGCTGCTTTACCACTAGGGTGTCTATACATCCGTTAATATAACCGAAATGATAAATATATAATACAAAATGAGTCATGAATACACTTCATCTTCAACCTCCCGCTAGAACACCTGTAACTTCACCATTGCTCAATAAAAATGGAAAATGCAAACAGGAAAGTTGTTTTATTTTCCATACGAATCTAACCATATAAATATCATAAACTATAAATCAAAGATGAATGAGAATTTTTGAAATTACCAAATCCTGACTTAATTATTTTCAAAGGTTCAAATTCAAAATTCTAACTATTCAAGCAACAATAATGAAATCTAAGGATATGGTTAGCTTCAGGAGAATGATATCTATATTTCTTATTCACAAATAAACCATTAATGATGCTTGTATAAAGAGTTCAAAATTCAGAAAACTCACCTTGCAATAGGGTATCGTGTTTTGATTTTGAGCAGCTTTTGATGAGTTCCAGTGATTGGGTTAGCTTCCTCAAGTTCCCAGGAAGCTAATGTAATAGCAATGGTAACTTTGTTCCATAAATGGAAAATTGTCTTGGATAAAGCTTGAATTAAATGGATAATAGCTCAAAAGCAAGTGTAATCTTATGATTAGGGAGAGATCTTGAGGTTTAGAGGCCTGCAAAGTAAGATTGTGCAGCATAGGCTTGAGATTTGAATTCTTGTTCATCAAAAATGACCTATAATTTTAATTTGAAAACCCCAACTTCCTCTCATTGATTATCCTTACTCAAGAATGATCTCAAGGAGTTCTTGGTCATTTTGGAAAGCTTGTAATGTTCTCTACAACCACTATTTGAATCACTTTTTAAAATTCCCCTTGGAACTATGTGAAAATTGTCATGAAGTTAGGTCAAAATCCTGCCTAAACTAGGGCAAAATTTCACTAAGTGTTTAGTTTCATGACCATGACTTCATGGATTAATAAATTGAGATCCAAGAATTTATAAGAGAAGTTGTGTAAAGAAATTTTGTAGATCTCATGGAGATCTACAACTTTCATGTTGAAAGTTTCTTTTGAATCATCTTGCATCATGGTGAAAAATTGGCTCAAAGTTGTGAAAAAATATGAAGTTTTCAACACTTAGAAAAATTTCTAAGTTTGAAAACTTTGACTTTTCAAAATGAAATCTTGACTTTTTGATTTCTTGATGAACAAGTTTCAGATTTTGACATGTTTTGATGAATTGTGATCTTTGACACTTGATTTTGACCAAAAAGTCAAAGTTTGACTTTTCAGTGTACAGTTGACTTTTGATCAGTTGACTGAAAAATCAACTATCAATCAATTGATCTTGAGGGATGTTTAGAGTCATGATATTAGGTCAAAATTATTCAATTGAACTCTTGAGATCATGCCTCAAACCAATTAACCATTTGCTAGGTCAAAAATCAAAAATTGCCATTTCTCAGTCAAAACCCTAATTTTGACCATTTTGCCCTTTTGATGATCTGATCAAATTTCTTGAGGAATTGTGGTCCAAACTTTATTAAATGATACATATGAGTTTATAATGTTGATATGGATAAAAATTATGAAGTTTGACTGTAAATTGGCACAGTTTACTTCTTCCCCAATACAGTTGATTTTTAGGTCAACTGCTCAATTGACTGAGCAAAAATGTGATCCAAGACTGGAAACTTGACATGAGAAATCTTGTGGGTCCATAATTATCCATTAAAGTCATATGAGGCATTAAAAGTTCAATTATCCTTGTGCAATATCAAACCCTAATTTCAGTCATCAGTGCTTAAGGAGGTGTCTTGAGCTGATCAACCCTTGTGCAGTCTTGAACCAAAGGAGATTTTGTGAGTAAATATTTGATAAATGAGAGGGCAAATTTTGGGGTACAACAGGCACATATACACCAAGCTGGAACATAAACCACGCGAGCAGGGACCTCCCCGGCGTATCTGGGTTAAGCCACTCATAAAAGTTCATCGGGAACTACACAAAACTAAATTCCACAAATTTTCTCTTGAGAGTCTTCTTCTCAGCAAGATTACTTTCTACCTTACTCAATTTTTATCTGGATTTCTTAGTAGTTATCACCGTTTCTTTGATATATTCATCCTTTTATTTATTCTTCTTGTTCTTTGTAGCAAGAGTCCTTGTAACAAAAGGTTCCTCATCAGTTTATGTTTCTTCCTCAACATCCTTTGTTTGTTTATGAGTCTTGGTAACATTACTAAGGATCATCTTTATTATTTGTGTGATTGAAACATCATCATGAACTTCATTTTGGATATTTCCCTTCCTTCTATTGCCTTGTCCTCCAGCCTCTTCTTCTCGTGATCTTATGTCACTAGCATTTTCAGAGGATGCATGTTTTTCACATATGATGTTATCCAATTGATGATCATCAATGAGTGTATCTATAGTGGGTTTGTCATAGGAAGAGACTACACGAGGTTCCCTTGTAGGTTCAACATTTGGTCTAACATATGACTTAGCTTGCAGGTTAGAGATATCAATTGATTCTATGATGGGAGTAGTTTTATTTCTATTCATATGGTCTCTACCTATAGTTTTCTTAGCCACAAAGGGATCATATGGTTTTTTCTTAGAGGCACTTATCAGGTTAGAAGTTTTCTTCTTCTTGGAGTCAGTTGCCTTAGATTTAGTTGTGGAGATATCCATTAGCACAACCATGTTGAGCGGACCAACATCCTGAATCACCTTTTTATCCTTAGTTTTCTTACTTAACAGAAATACCCTAGACTTCTATGAGGAGGGGTTTTCTTTTGGGTAGAATCCATACACTTTCACTCCATGAGAATTTGAGATGGGTGTAGGTTCATTAGTCTTTGTTTTCTCAATTTTTTGACTCACTATCGACACTGTTTGATGACTTAAAATGGTAAGCAAAGAAAATTTCATCTTAGGACAAACGGAAAGGACTGGCTTCTTCAAGAGAAGAAGTGCAAGAGTATTTTGAAAATACCAATTAAGGAAATAATTCCCCTTTTGAAGATTGGTAATGATCATAGGAGAGAGAAAATTCTCTTAACACGCCTCCTTTCACTACGCCAAAAATGATTTTTTGTATCACCTAATTTAATAGCACTTTTAAAAAAAATGCTATTAAAATGGAAAAAACACATTTATAATAGCACTTTTTAATCGGGCGCTATTATATAATACAAACTATGTAATTATGATAGCACTTTGTACCAGAACGCTATTATTAAACTTCTTTAAGATAGCATTTTGTATAAAACGCTATTATTTGACTACCTATATAATAGCATTTATTAAAAAGCGCTATGTTATATATAATAATGAATTAATTAATTAATTGATAAAAAAAAAAAACACATTTTCAGAAAATTGGGACCATCTTATATTCATCTGGTCTGGCATTCGGCCCAATTTCCAGTTCTAGAATCTTCTAGGTTTTCAGTTAACATTTTCTTCATCTGCGAGTTCTTCATTTGTTTGTGTGAAATTTTGTGTAGTTTAATTTCTTTCTTTGTTTTAAGCTCTTTGATTTTGGATAGTGCGCGTCTTTTCGCGCGAAATCTGAAACTGTAATCAATGCCGTTTGCTAATGCAATCGTTTGATTTGTAATTTGTGTTCAGTGAGGAAAGGTAAATGAATATGAAAAAGATGAAAGTTCCGAATGTTCCCGGTGGTGGTGCTGCTTCTGCACTGATGAAATTGGGAGTTATTGGTGGAATTGGTTTGTATGTTGCTGGGAATAGTCTTTACAATGTTGAAGGAGGTCACCGAGCTATTGTTTTCAACCGTCTTGTTGGTGTTAAAGACAAGGTCGTTTTTTTGCTATATGATTGTTTCTTTAGCTTAGATTGATTAATTGAAAGAGTGGTAGTATTGATTTTGTTGCTTCGAATTAGGGTTTCTTGCTGGAAGTTAAATTTGTATCTTGTTTGATATGCAGGTTTATCCTGAAGGGACACATTTTGTTATTCCGTGGTTTGAGAGGTCAGTCATCTATGATGTTCGTTTGCATCCCCATCTAGTCGTGATCTCCAGATGGTAAATTATAAATCTAGTTTTACTTATACTTGCATGTTGTCGTGAGGATATGGTTTTGATAACAAATTCTTAGAACCACTCCTGGAATTGAAATTTCATATCAGTGATTCTTTTATAGTTTTTACATAAACTCTTAAATGACAACTGTTTATTGAAGAAAAAATTGATAGAGTTTCTATCTCAGCATCTCTTTATATTTAAGAGTTTTTGTCATTGTTTAGCTGATTCCCATTTGTAAAAGCTTTGTTGAAGTGTTTTGATCAACTTCTAGGGGACTATTTTGTTTTTGCATAAAATGGCTATTTTGGATATATCATGTTCAAATGGTAAGATTTTTATGATATAATTAAATCCTGTGGTATTTGATTTTTCTTATCGATTGTAGACATTTCAATTGTGTGTTCTTGGCATCGGAACTTAAATGCCTCATCAAAATCTCATATTCTGAGCTACTGGTTTGGTTTGCTTTTCATGTTTAGCCTCTGTATTGGCATCCATACTTTCTCACATAATATATCTGCTAAATTTCCATTCTCCCACTTTCCCAGGGTTGCTTGATGCCTTATTTATACCTCTTATAATTTATTTGGATGACAATGTTAGAAACTCGAGGGTCACCAATTCTAGGAGCTTTAGTCCTTCCTGCTTCATTTTCAGACAGAAACTCGAACCTTGTACTTCTTTCTTTGATTCTACCAAGTGATAACTTGATGTCTTGAATCTCAGAAGCAATCTGGTGATGCGGATTCATGGTTTTGATCAAACCAGGAATCATTTGGAGTGCAGATCTGAATATAGAATGACTGGCCCTCTCTGCCAAAAACATGTCGTAGTAATCAATCACATCTTCTATGCGAAAAGACGCTTCTCTCACCTGCTTCACCCAAGTTTTGACTCCATTGGATCCATCATCATCATCAGCAGCCTTTGTGTCTGCATCCTTGAGGAAGGCTTGGATGCTCTCAAGTTCATCTTTGATATCATTGAAGTCTCTTTCAATCCCTGCTACTGAATTTCTTTCTTCTACTGTATATTGGCTAGTTTCTTTTATTACAAATTGGCCTAGTTCTTGTAAAACAAATGATACTGCAGTTTCTGCCATATCATTTCAATGTTTTCATCAATCAGATTAGCTTTTGCAAGAATATTTTTTAGCAATCAATTAAGTTCATGTAAAGTGCATTGCTTTTGCAAGAATATTTTTTTAGCAATCCAATTAAGTTGACTAATGAATAGTTTAGTCTACATGGCAGTATTTTTCTAATGTAGTGTGGACAGATACATGGTCCAGTTTTAGCTCGGGATTTTTATTTAAAAATGTATCCAAGTCTGCGTTAAAATTTGAACTGGATTATCTCTATCCAATGATTATGGATGTGCCAAATGCATGAATGCTTCAAATTATTGACTGCTGGCAATCTGATTTCCTCTGTGCTGGCTGATCAAGTTATGTTTTGTTAGGAGTTGTTTCGGAACATTTTATGTTTAACATTGATGTTTTCAGCATCCTGCCGCGTCTGGGTTAAGGTTTCTGCCTTTTCTGTATCTGTATCTGTTGTCATTTATTGATTTCTTAAACTACTTCATTTTCATTTCTCTATTTAGTTGTCATAAATTTGTAACTTTCTCGAATCCCCCTTTTTCGCATATGCACAATATTTCAGTAATTATGAATAGTAGTTATAAGGAGCCAAATATAAATATTCAAAAATATTTGTGGATTAATTAGTGGCCGACAGCTTGATAGAAATTTTAATGTTTATTATTTTGTATGCAATTGCTTCTTGTATTGTTACTGGTAGTCATCGGAGACATCACAAGGGAAGTTCCAATTCTTAGTTAGTATGAATTAGTACATATATCATATATGCTTCGATTTTATCCTAAGTGTTACATATCGGAACGGCAGAGGTGTTTTCTCCACTAGGTTTTAAACTTTTAGTGTTACATGTATTTTCTTTGCAGGTCAAAACTATTAAAGTCAGTAATGTTTCCTTGGGAGCATATGAACAAGACCTTAAGGAGTTCTTTTCCTTTTCTGGTGATATTGAATATGTTGAAATGCAAAGGTCAGTGAGTTGCTGTGCTTGGCGGTCAACTATTTTTTAGAGTGCTTCAAATCTTAAGTTTCATTATACAATCATATGTTTAATATTATTGCAGTCATGACGAACGATCTCAAATTGCCTTTGTCACTTTCAAGGACCCACAAGGTGCTGAGACTGCAGTACTACTATCGGTAATATTCCTGACATTGATTATCTGTGGATATATGTGTATCAAATATGGTTATTTACGAATTAGTGAAGTATCTCGAGAAGTTGATCAATTTGTCCTGGATTGTCATCCAAAGCATCATATGTTCATTATATATAGTTCCGGGCTTAGAACTACAGCATTGTTTGTCATTATCCAAAAGGCATCACCTTTGGATGACATATTCAGCTTTTTGGCTAGATAATGCAGTATCAGTGAATCCCGTAGAAAACTGTTATTTATCTGAAGTTCTTGAAGTGCCACACGTTTAGAAACTCTTACTTGGGAGGGTTTCAGAAGTCTGTTTTTGTTGAATGTCTTGCTTTCAGCCCTTCCAAAGTATGGATGCTCCTCTGTTGGTGGTATATATGAAGCACGGACACCTTGAACACAACACCGACACCGACACAACAGCACTGGTAATCATTTGAAAAATTGAATAAATTAAACATAATCACAAGTGTAGGTGTAGGTGTCCGACATCGACTCGGACGCGCCTTTTTCAGAAGTGTCGGTGCTACATAATATATCTGTCATTTCTCAAAAGGTGCTTCTCATGTAATCGGTCATACTTGTTGATTAGTCTTCAAAGTTCCCCACTATTTCCATCTCTGCTTTTCACCCAGTCTCCCAACATTCAGTCTCATTATTTTTAGGGTTTGTTTTGTTGATGTGGTCCTTTTCAGCTACTTTATTAGGCAATTAGGAATAGGTGTCATTTTTCCTATTCATTTCACATGACCAAGTTAAGTATTATAAAAGAAAAGTGATTTTGGTAATCATTTTGATGCAACTGTTAGTTCAAATTGATCATCTTTTGTTTCATTTTGTCACCAACAAGGGTTTTATTGCTAACCACCTTCTTATGATATATATTACCTGTTTTGGACTAGTTCAATGACTAGAATTGGCCAAATCCGATTTCACCTTTGGCACGGCCCAATAATATCGGTCCAGCATTACGGTCGACCACGCCCTCGAACGGCCCGACCAACAATGCTCGAAACGCACGCCTGTCCGTGCGGGCAGCTACCTCCCAGACAACCAGGAAGGCGCTCGAAACGCGTCTGCCCGTCGTCTCAACCTTGCTCGACGCAATGATTAGTTACGGACACGACTGTCCATTTTGACCCAGTCCTGACAGTTATCTATTTTTGCAGACCCGCATATCTAGGTTCAAAAATAGGGACCAATGACTACGCGTTGGGGGAACTATATAAATCCTCACACTTGAGAATTTGAATTATATTCTGTTTAGTATTTATATGCATCTAATAATGGAAATTGTGGTCTATATATTTACAAGTCATGTTCTTGTTAGACTTAATTAGTTCAATTATTGCATTAGTTATATCGATTTATTGTTATTAGTTTATAATAATCATTCCTTATTTTATGCGCTTCTTGTTAGACCCATATTAAATGTTTGATTATTCTTTATATGTTGAATTAGTTTTTATTGTACAATACATAATCAATATTCCTTCTATGATACAGGAAAACAAGAAGCAATTATTTTGCCTAATTAGTGATTGTATCTATGAGTTCAACGCTTTTGGATCATGAAGGTGGTTACTACATGGGATTGTTTTGTTATCCTTTCTTATTTTTTTGGTGTTTTGTTTAGAGAATTTGATTGTATGTTTTTGGATTTGGATTGAAGTACTCATAGATGGGCATCTACAAATTTGGCTATGCAAACGCCCTCTTAATATTCTATATGTTATGATATTTGGAAACAATAGGATTTGGTAATTTAAAATGTTATTTGGTATTTGATGGATCATAATATATATGCAATGAGTAACTTAAAGCGTTATTTGTGTTGAATTGAATATAGTTATTTTATATTTACACCAAAAAAAATGATTGTGTAAGAAAAAATATTGTACTGTACTTATTAAAAATATTGTACCAAATATGTACCATTTATTAGCACTTTATTTGAAAGCGCTATCAAACATATGTTATATATTAGCGCTTTTTGTTTAGAGTGCTATAAAAAAACAAACAAAAAACATGCAAAATACTGACTTTGATAGCACTTTAATTAAAACGCTATTATAAATTGGTACTTTAATAGCGCTTTTAAAGTGCTATTAAATAAGAAATATTTACAATAGTGGCGCGGTTAATAGCACTTTTAAGCGCTATCAAAAACAAAAAAAAGCGCTATTAAATAGCTTATTTGGCGTAGTGTTTAAATTAACTTTTCAACCATACAAATGTCATATGTGCCTTTTAACTTCTTAATTTAAATTTATTATGAGAATTGTTGATGCTAGCTTGCATCTGAATAACTTGATACCCAAGTAAGTGACTAATTGTTTCATTAAACTTTCTTTCTATCTCAGAGACCAAATGTTTAGCAGGATGTTCCAACACCGAGTCAAACATTATTTCTTTAGTGATCTTATCATAATCCTTCTTCACACATGTCTTTTTCTCCTAGAAGATTGACATAGATATCCACAAATAGCAATTGTCTTTGGAACTAGAGACATTTATCAATTCCTCGTGCTCTTTGTTGGTGATAACACATTCAACCTTGTTGAATCTAACTTTAAATCCATGATTTCACAATTTACTAATACTGATCGAATTTGTTTTTAAGTATTCTACGAGTAACACATCATTAAGGCAAGGAAGTCCTGGCATGGCCACCTCACCAATACCCTTAATCCTTCAATTTCTTCCATCTCCAAATGTTGCATATCCTTGTGGGAAATGTTTTACCTCTTCAAGGAAAGAATTGTCACCTGTCATATGATTGGAACACCACTATCAACAAAGTAGTCATTATTTGGGGACACTCCACCAGATGTTTGAGCTATGTGGGTTTAACTTCAACCTTAGGTTTCCACACTTTCTTTGCTTGAGCCTGATTACCATTTATTTTGGGTCTTTATTGACTATAGAGTTAAGGATAACCATACAATCTAAAATAGTTGAGCCTTACATGCTCACATCTTCCATAATAATGACATCTTATGTTAGAGTTCTTAGTTATTGGGACATGTGGTCCAACATCTGGAACTCAATTTTGTTCTCAAAAGGAACAAACTTCTTAGGATGATTTGTGTCCTTCTTGCTCATGGACCTGGGGTCAAACCTTGTTCTCTTCATTTTTTATAACAAAACTCTTATGATGATTTGTGTCCTTCTTACTCATGGACCTGGGGTTAAACCCTGTTTTGCTGCATAACATATCAGACCCCAATGTTCAACATACGAATAAATTTTGTCATGTTTTCTAGCTTAGATTTTTAAAGGATAACTTGTTCTTCTAGACCAATGATGGTAGTAGTTTGTTTCATATTTTCTTGGGGTAGATATTTATAGTTTTCTCCTGTTTTTTCACTTCCATGCAAGCTTCCTCCCACTTGGTGTTCGAAATTTTGTAAGCAACAACTAACTCCTCATTCATAATGTCTTTATCATTGGACTCACTTTCTGCCTCATACTTTCCAGATTAATCCATCACATTGTTTACATTTTCTCCCTGACTTTCATCATCAAAATCATACCAGGTGATAAATAGTCCCCTTTTTTGTTTCTTTAGAAAATTAAGGCATTCAGCTTTAATGTGGCTAAAGCCTTCACATTCATAGCACTGAGTACCCTTGATACTATTGGGTTTGTCTTTTCTCTTTCTTTTGTCCTGGAGATTGATATCAGACCTCTTGTCATGGACATTTGAATTCCACTTTTTGTTCATGTTCTTCAATGATCGGTTGAATTTTTTTCAATAATAGCTATAGCATCTGAGAAGATTTCTTCTTCATCACATTGACTTCCATCTCCTACAATGTTAGAAACAAAGCATATCCCTTTGTTTTTATTTTCATTCATGTCATTAATGGCCATCTCAAAGGCATGTAAGGAACCCATGAGTTTGTCAACCTTAATATTGCTCAAGTCCTTAGCCTCTTCAATAGTAGTCACTTTCATATCAAACCTCTTAGGCAATGATTTGAGAATTTTTCTGGCAAGCTTATTTTCAGACATCTTTTCACGTAACATAAAAGAGGTATTGTCAATATCATGCAACCTGATGTGGAATTCAAAGATAGATTCATCTTCACTCATCCTCAAATTCTCAAACTTTGAAGTAAGGAGTTGTAGCCTTGACATGCGAACTTTGGATTTGACTTCATGTGCAATTTTGAGAATCTCCCATGCTTCTTTAGCCTCTTAACATGTGTTAATCAACCTGGACATGTTCTTGTCCACACCATTGAAGATAGAATTCCAAGTCTTGGAGTTTCTAAGAGCTTTAACATCTTCAACATTGGTCCATTCAGCTTCTGGTTTCAAGCTAGTAGTTCCATTTTCATAAGTAACCAATGGATGTTTCCACCCTTTTACCATAACTTTCCATGCTTTGTTTCCAATGGATTTGAGAAATGCAACCTTCATGGACTTTCAGTAATCATATTGGTGCCATCCAAAATAGGTGGTTTGTTTACTGATCTTCCATATTGGTGCTCTCAACAAGTATTTTAAAGATTGGATAGTCTTCTTTGTCTCACTATCTATCTGCGGATGATAAGAAAAACTCAAACGTAACATCGTACCTAAAGCCTCATGTAAACTCTCCCAGAATCTCGACGTAAACCTTAGATATTTGTCAGACACAATATCAAATAGAATCCCATGCAACCTGACAATCCTCTTGATATACAATTCTGATAACTTATCCAATGAATGATTAAGTTGAATTGGAATGAAATGAGTCGACTTAGTCAACCTATACACTATAACCCAAATAGTATCACAACCTTTCACTTTCCTTGGCATTCTAGACACAAAGTCCATTAAAATGTTGTCCTATTTCCACTCAAGAATAGATAACGACTACATAAAACCTAACGACTTATAATGCTTAACTTTCGACTTTCGGTAAGTCAAACACGCATACGCAAATTTGGCAACCTCCATTTGCATTCCAGGCCACCAAAAGATATTCTTCAAGTCTTGATACATCTTTGTAGCATCGGGATGAATACTCAGACCACTTCGGTGTCCTTCCTCAAGTGTACTCTTATTAAGTCCAGGCACATCAGGAACACAAACTCTATTACGGAATTTTATAACACCATTATAATCTATCTAAATTCACCACCTTAACCTTGATTGATTAAAGTTAATAGATCTACCAATCTCAAATTAGCTCTCTGACCTTGTCTAATCCCTTCAAGAACACTATTAGTAAGCTTCAACATACCCAACTTCATACTCTGCGGCGTGACTTCACAAACTAAATTCAAATATCTAAACTTTTCAATCAAATCCAACTCTTTCCCCCTCAAGGTCGACATATGAAATTTCTTTCAACTCAAGGCATCAGCTACGACATTGTCTTTACCAGGATGGTAATGCAAACTAAAATCATAGTCCTTCAACAACTCAATCCATCTCCTCTATCTCA